GAGAAAGGTTTAATACCAACAAATGTTAAATGTGCACAAATAGCTGTCATAGATACAGTTTAAAGTTTCATGAAATTTAGTTGCACTTGCACTTACAAAGTAAATAGGCTTCAATAAATACATCGCATGCTGTGTAACCTTAGAATCTGGGCATTTTTCTGTGGTATTTCAGGGATTGAAACCTAACGGCAATTTCACATTGAACCACAATTAATTGCATTCTTTGTTTAAATGTATGGAATAAAGCAAATTCTTACAAGTTACCTAAAACCGTGTGAATTTGTCAATCAGCACACTGTTGTGTTCTTTTTTTTCTAACAATATTTTTTTTTTGCCTTGGGATGTTTTAAATCAAAAACAGCAGCCTACTCACTTTGTTGGGGTCTCCAAAATGACACTATAAATAGGCCTACCCATTGTTATTAATTCCTTACATTCAATTATTTTCAGGCCGCAGTGTCGAATTTGAAGCAAGAGTATAAGGAAGGCGAGACCTCCCTGGACGAGGCGAAACTATTGGCCATCAAGGTGCTCAGCAAAACTCTCGATATGAACAAGTTGACTCCCGACAAAGGTACGTACTAAAAATTAAGCTACGTACGTTAAATCAGCTTAGGTAGGCCTATGTTTCCACTTACAAAAGTCCCTAGAGAGATTTGAACCTAGGCTAGCATTGTACAAATTAAAACAACCCAACTTACATCCTCAGGCACAAGTGCATAAAATACAGGGTCTACTTTTTGATGGGTACCTAGTTTTAACATGAACCAAAATTGTTTATTATTTATATCACACTTTCATATTTTAAACAGTCAAATGAATAAATAGAACCGTAGCTCAAATTCAATTATTGGGGAATGAGCTGGTCTAGTCATAGAGCATGGGACTTTGGTCCCAGACGTCCTGGATTCAAATTCTACCAATGACCAATAGATTTGAACTAATTGTTGCGCATACCTAGTCTGAAGTAATTGTTTAAACGGATCCGGGCTGGATCTTACATCCTAGGATTTGAAGGTGGTACACATATGTTTATTATATTGTTGAGTATCAATAATATGCTTGGTTGATAGATTTATTAATGTATCTGCTAATAATATGGACTGAAAGGTAAAAGATTTTGTTGAATTCAGCTATCCTTGTACTATTGAAGCTTTATAGACCAAGTTTAAAAATACATTAAGACTAAGCCTATTTTAACCTTTACTTGAATTAATTAATTAAATTATTATTATTAATTACTTAACTCTCAAGCGGGCGCTTGTGGAGTTTTCCTTCCCACTTGTAGTTTTTGTTAAAATAATTATGCCTAATAAGTGTCTGCAGTCGTGTCCGGCTCCATACTTCACGCACCTCATCCCAGGAATGAATTTTTTACCATAAATTTGTTCATTAAATCAATAATGAATTAATTGATGCAATAACTTGTGATTTAATCTTCTCTTAATTCAAGCAAATAATAACAAATCATGATTCTTCTGATGACAAATGTTTTGTTGCAGTTGAGTTGGCGACTCTAACCAGACAGAACGGCAAGACAGTCACTCGTATTCTGCCAGCTAATGAAGTGGAGACTCTGATTGCGGCTTACGAGAAGGCAGAAGCTGAGGCTGAAGCAGCCAAGAAAGAGAAGCAGAAGAGTTAAACTAACTGTTGAAACAATTTTTCATCTATTTAATAAATATATTTCTTAATTTCTATGATTTTTGTTATTGGCTCTATGCTTTACAGCCCCATTGCAATGAATTAAGCTGACTCAGTTGCGAAACATATACACAGATAATAAAAAAGTGTAATTTCACTTTTAGACTCTTTAAACTCAATCAATCAGGGCTGAGGGCTGCTTTAATAAATTGGTCTAAAGCCCAATGAGCCAAAGCCCAGGGGGGCAAGAGGTTTTAGTTTTAAGTTGAGGAAAAAGCCTGAATTTGAGGCCTATTGACGTTCAATTTTACAAAGTTTATTACAAATGTCTAACAAAGGCAGCTTATACTGTGGGTCCACAGACCATATTGGCAGCGAGAAAAAATGCAACACTGTAGTAGACCAACAAACTACACGGAACACTGGAATAAGCTCTTAGGTTGCTAACCAGTCAATAAATGGTTCACATCCGCCATATTTGAATTTACAATCTACATCCAGTTATATGCTGTACACACAAGGCTAAATAGAAAATGTTTTTTGTTTAAGGTGTAAAATGTTGATAACAGTTTTTTTTATCGTTAATACATGCATAAAAAACAGATGTCTCAGTGCTACAAGAAAATAGTTGTTTCTGTTTTCATTACCTAAGATAGCTGGATATGTATAATGGACCAGCCTGCCTATACTGTTGAGGCTTTATAAGCACTATTAAACTGTACGATATTCTCAAATTTGATTTTTTTTTCTTTTAAGTTAAAACAAACAAGAAATAAAAGCTGTGGATAAGAGCGGTAGGTTTGTACAGATCTTGCCTAATTTAAAGACGGAGGTCGGTGGACTGACATGACATACCAATAATGAGTACACGTTCTAGAGAGTTCTATATAGTTTGTTAAGACCAACCAACATATTAAATCATCATACACCATAGTACCAAAACACAATAATCCTGTATAATAGGCAAACATGTTTCTTGAAAACTGAAAACCATATTTCTCAGCTTGTGTGCATCGCAGGGAAAATATGCATACATAGAAAGATATTTTCCTGTAGGTGTGCAGAATCTCTGTATAAATTGAAATTGGCTCAAAAAATGAATTTAAAAAAATGACCTTGGGCATTATGGGTTGCCATGCTGGTGATGAAATAATAACGAAATATAAACAAAAAATCAAAAGAAATGGGAGAAATTCCAATCACATGTCTTTTTTACAGCGTGGGAGTAAAAGAGAAGTTTGCACTATAAATATTTTTGGTTGAGTTTTCCACCACGAGGCGACCTCTAGTAAAACAGAAAAAAAAACTCTATGTAGGTGGGTTCAGAATCTGAATGAATTTCCAAGTGGAGGTAAAACAATTGTAAATAGATAGCTTTGTACAGCATGTTGGCATTCAAGTGCACACCACAAGCTTATTTAGAAATTTTAAAAATGGGTACTTGAGGCTTTACAATGCCAAAACCATCTGTTAATATAAAAATTAAGCATGAATCTAAGTAAGAATTGTGAAGGTGTTCCTCACAATTCCACAACTCCAGCAGTACCTCATTGATAGGCCTTACAAGATTGACTTTAACTTTCTAGAGGAGCATACCTACCAACATTAAAGACTCGAGTTTGCTCACTTCCAATAGTCCTTAAGGTTCCTGTTTACAGACAGGATATTTGGCAATCAATCTTGCAGATTGTTGAGAAGACGCTGGATGTTGGCAGAGAAGTAAGATACAGAGTAATAAATGGTATCGAGCACCAATAGCTGATGGTGTCTAGAGCAAATTATATTTGTCATCCCCTTCCGCTTTCCTCTCCCTATCACTGTCTTGTACTACAGCGCTCACGCTGTAGGAAGACCCTGTGTGCTACAAATTATCATCCCATTGACTTTAAGATACCGAAGGAAGGTATGGTATAAATAAATGTTCTATTGATAGTCAAATCATTCGTATATCCCAATATTTGTTGGTATTTTTTGGAAGACACCTTGAAAGAAAGTTCTGGGAAGGTGACACATTCTTAAGTTAAAATTTTTTTACTGAGAATAAGAAATGCATAAAAAATAAAATGTATAACCTCTTACATGGGCGTCCATCCGAATTTTTCAATAGAGAGACTGGAGGGGACTGGGTTAGTATGCAATTGGAAATGCCCCCTAGTAAAGAAGGGGGCCCGAGGGTTCCGCGCACAAATTTAAGTGTGCAGAGTAGTAATACCATGCACCGATATGTAAAGTTAAGGTTTTTTGTTAGTTTTATCATTTAATCTGAATGACATTGTATTTTACTTTTGACGTGACCTTTGCATGTATATTATGTCTCTTTGATTAAATACCAAAGCTCTCAAGTTTGATTATTAAAGGTCTCTTTGAGTTATTGAGTTACCACAAAATGTTTCATTCAAAACATTTTTGTACCTAAATTTACCTCGCAAACTAATTTTTTTACATGTTTAACCTGCAAAAACATGGTTAACCTTAACACATATTGATTGGACGCCCATGTCTGAAATTTATGACATTTTATTTTACAGTATCATACAAGCATTAAAACAATTATGATTTAAAAACTTATTTTTAAACTGAAATTTCTTAAATGAAAATAAAGTAATAAAATAAAATAAACTATAAAATAAAATAATACCGGTAGGATAGTTATAATATTATAAAAAATAAACAATTATAATAACTATTAAAACTAAAAGTATAAACGAGGGTACTGGTAGTGATGTATTATTTTAATCTAAAATATTTAAAAATTGGATTATAATTTTACTTTAGTTTCAAATTGTGTAATTAAGACTAGTGTCACTGTTGCTCGAATTCGAGCAATTGCAAATTATTACAGGAGTTATTTTAAAACGAATAACAGTCATAATTTACGATGACAAAAGACTCAACTCAAAGTCAATTTTTTATAAGGATAACATGCTGGGATCTTTAAAAGCCACTGGGGCAGAGCCGAAGGGACTTTTTCAAAAATGTAAGGTCAGTTTGCAAAAAATACACACCAAGACAAACATTTTGGTTTATAATATGTGGGGTTAAATCTTAAAATTAAAACAAAAAACCTTATTGTTTACAAAGTTTTATCTAATAGTCATTAAGCAATAATCTAGGCCTATCTATATTATTGATAGATAGATTAGGTATTTGAAATTGGCGCTCTCCATAGCCTCTGACCCAAACCACAGTCTACTTTTTTGAGACCATGTAATTTTTATAAGTATCTCAAATAATATAACAAAACAAAAATGATTAGAATAAAACGAATTTTTAAAGATTTAAATAAATATTTTGCCTTAAAAATATCATTATTTACTAATTTTAGAGTAAAAGAAGGGATTTCATTTCATCCCATTGCATTCTGGGATCAGCCGATTCGTCGTCTGTTCTCCACCTCTTTCATCGTGTAAAGGCCGTAAGAAAAATGTCTCAACTCTCGATTCGTTTGGCTTCTGCTTTGGCAAAGCAGTTGTCCGTAGCAGTTCCACAGGTAATTTACTTATTTATTTATTTATATATATAATTAACCTGTTTTACTTTACATAAAACGAGTAGTTGCACTTTTTCCCAATCTTGAAAATTCCGACTTGTCGGGTCACCTTTGAGCGAAGGGCAACCATTTGCCCGCACGGCTCCTACTACAAATTTGATAAGATAAACGCAATTTTTGATCGCATGATTTAAAACGAAGCATCATTAAATCGAATCTAATTAATTTGAGAATATATTATGCAAGACTCTTAAACCTATTTCATGTTTGGTGAGAATTTTTAATTCTGGAAAAGGGCACAGGCCTAGCCTATCTTTGTTACTAAGATAGATTACTCCTAATCTATGTTTAAACGTAGTCCTGGTTTATTTGAACTGCATTTTTGTCAGGTTAAGTTATTAAATGTAATAATAATCTGTAAGGTCTAGTGGGCCTAGCAATCACTAACTTATTTACAAATCAAATTTTGACCTTCCCTGCCTTTGCTAGGGCAGGGCTTTAAGGGCTTACTTAATCTACAAAGGAGTAATATAAAGATGATACTAGCTTATGGGTCAACCGTGCGCTTTTAGCTCCGGAATTTTGGGGTGAAAATGTAAGTTACCAAGCAAGGAAGAGCTTGAATGGCCTCATTAACTATTGTAAGTACGGTACCTAGAAGTTGTAGCCCTCAGGGTCTCGCTGTAGTATGTGATGGTGAGGAGCAAAGGAGTGCAGAAAAGGATGACGAATACAAATTGCTCCTTCCACCTCATTTTAGGTTAATCTGTTGAAGGTCATTCATTACTAAGTAACTTACCTACAATATTTTATTTACAAGGACTAATACTGGTAACTTATAGACTAACTTAAGAATAAGACTTACAGTACTTGAAGCTTGGTCATTATTATTGTGTACTGGCAGCAGCTGCAGCCTTGATGTGTTCAGTTGAATTGCAGTGTAACTTATAAGTTTAGCAAAAACATAACTTAACTTAGGCCTACGTTATAAAAACAGGAAACTTACAAGACTTTCAAAACGAGCAATAAGTCTCAGGTTTAAGTAAATTCAAGTTAATCTATTCTGACTTACTTTGTTTAGCCTTAACTTAGCCTAACTTAATTATAAGGATGCACTAACTTTCAACTTAGGCTATAAATAATTTAACTTAATTGACATAGGCCCTATGCGGCTTAAAAATTACTAAGGACCAGTTATTAGTTGAATTGTTTGTATCGCAGGTAGCATGGCCAACCACACAGGTCGCCAGCCGCAAGCTGCATGTGTCCTGCAGTCAGCGCGCAGCAGAGATCTCGTCCATCCTGGAGGACCGCATCCTGGGAAATGCCCCCAAGGTATTAAGAATTAAGAGAAGATGCCTATTTCATGTCTAGGTTAGGTAAATTTAACTTAATAAGTTTTTTAAGCAGTAGCCTACGATAGAGCTGTAGCGGTGCCATATTCGTACGGTGATTTAAAAGTGCAATGTAAGTAAATACAAGCGACCACACTTAAGCGTTGCGAGCGGTGGTGGTATACCGTCCGTATCACCGCACCGCTCAGATGGAAATTGTGAAAAACGAAAGCGCTAGAATGCTCTTGTTGTCACGGCTGGACACCGACTGATTTGCCGAGTGCACACGCACCAAAATGTATTTGGTGCGCGCCTAGTGGCGTCAGAACAAAACATACTTTACTTTCTGGATAGCCTTAACTAATAACACACCACACTTCACTGCACACTCATAAGTGAGGACAAAAAATTGCTCTACTCTGTAGTCACCGCTCCGTTGTGAATGCCTCAGCGGGTACTATGAAACTGCCCCGATATTTTAGGTATATTTTAAATGATGAAACTGCCCCGCTCATTACAGAGCATCAAGAACGGCCGTCTCGCCATACCTGTTAAATGCTGAAATTGCCCCGAGCGGCCAGCCAGGTAGCTGCCACGGGTCTGGGGAAAAAGGGAATTATTGTTGTCCCTGCGTTCTGTCAGTGGCTGCAGTCTTCTAATAACTACCACCAATATCAGGAATTACTAGCTTATTTAAGGTTAGGTTTGGTTAGATTAGGAATTGGTACAGAAACAATTGTGACTTGGCAGGAAAAGCAGTCGACGGCAGTTTTAGAAGACTGCAGTCACTGACAGGACACAGGGACAAAAATAATTGCCTTTTTTCCCCAGTCCCGTATCGACTACCTGGCCGGGCGCTCGGGACAATTTTAGACATTCTAGTCTTGCAAGGCGACCCTTCCTAATCCTCTTTAATGAGCGGGGCAGTTTCATGTTTCAAAAGTACCTACCTTAAATGTCAGGGCAGTTTCACTACGCCCGCCTCAGCAATACCGCCGCGGCGGTGATGGTGGATGAGGGAGTGGAAAAAAACACGTGGATACCGCCACCTCCATCCATGGTCTGCCATGGTGTGTGCAGACCTTTTAATATTTATTTTTTACTGTTGGGTTCTTATTGTTGTCTTAAATGTATAGCTACGCTAAGTTAGTGTCACATAACTTTTAAAGTTTATGTGCATGACTTAATTAAGTTAGGCCCCTACTGTATACATTGGAACCTCGATAACAAGACCCTCAATAACAAGTTGTCCTTGATAACAAGTGTCATTTTATCCCCTAGAATCCCTTAGAATTTATTTTACCCCTAATCACATGTTATTGCAAACCTCGATAAGAAGTCAACCTTGATAACAAGTCTTATTTATAAATCCCCATGAGAGTCTTGTTATCAAGGTTCTATTGTACTTTATTAAGTTTATTCCATGCATGGTTTGAACAAACAAACCTGCAGAACTCGAATCCACTTCATAACCAATGAACTTACCTATGGTAGGCTACTTTTCCTTCTAACTTGATGTTAACTACTTTAGCTCCCAAATATCATCATCTGATGACCACTGGTAGCATCTGGTTTTACGTTGTAAAATCAAGAAAGCCATAGCCTAGTGTAGAGCTCAACTATGTAGTCCTATAGCCAGTTAGCGGGTCAGTCAGCAACTTAGCGTGATCTTTACACTAAAAGTAAAGACTAACGAATGCAGCGATTTTGTGGGTTTGTGTTCTTGTGTTACCTCATAAAATTTACTCAATTTTTTAATTACTTCTTAATCAGCATTTTGTAGGCATACGCAAAAATGGTATTCAATTTAGGGAAAGAAAATAAAAATATGTCCAATAAGTTAACACTTGAATCATTGTAGGCTATATTTAAACACTTATACTTATACTTTCAAGACGGTAAATACTTATTTAAATGATAAAAGCTTAAGTGGTTACCTAATCGATTTTGATTGGACACTCTAATTAATTATGACAAGGCCCAATAGGCTTCATTCACTTATTGTAGTGTCCAATCGAAACTGAGCACCACTTATCATGTTTTTATATGTATATACCATCTTGTGAGTTAACTGTTTAAGTTAGGTTTAAATTACTTAAGTTATTTATGCTAAGTTATAAGCTATAGTTAGATATAATTTTTTTATTTAGTTCAGTTTTGTACTGCACAGACCACCCTATGCTTGTTTCCACAGGTCTTTGAAGGCCTTGTGGACTGGCAAATTCAATTAAGTAGGCTTTACTTTGACTACCCTAACCTAAAATGTTAACTCGGAGTTTATTTACAGGCTGATTTGGAAGAGACTGGTCGTGTACTCAGCATTGGTGACGGTATTGCTCGTGTCTACGGACTCAAGAACATCCAGGCCGATGAGATGGTGGAATTCTCCTCCGGTCTCAAGGTAACACCAACACTTGTGTTTGTACAAGTGTTTATGTTTATTGTTGTGTTTTTTTGGGGGAGGGGGCATGAGTAAAATTAAAGGGTGTTATCTAGTTTATGGAGGGGGTTAAATTAAAATATTAAATATATATATATAGTACAGTGGCATAGGTTTGAAGGATTAGTGAGGATAGCAGGTTTACCTGAATGGGAGTCCAAACTGGTTTTAGAAACACACAACTTTACATTATACAAAAACATTAGAATATTTGATCCATACTGGCAGAATTTTCAACCATTCAGGTTTAAACTCATTGTGTCAAGTCAATTTTTGTTTGGAAGGCGCTGTACAGATCTTAGTACTTAACTGTTTGTATTCCTGAATTCAGATTAGATTAGGCCTAATGGTGGTTTTTACTATCCATGGTCACCCTCCCCCTATTAGCCTGGCTAATCTAGGTTCTTTTTAAGCCGCGTTTACACCGGAGTTTCAAACAAAAAGTTGCAAACTTTTATTGCAAACAGCAGTTGCAAACAGTAGTTTCAAATAAATGTTTGCAATTTTTATTTCATGATTTGTTTCCACGTTTCATGAAAATGTTTGAAATAATTTCGACCTTGATTATGACTCGCCTCGTTCTGGTTCTGATTATTCCGAGGATGTCAAGTGTCGAGGATAGCCGCGGCGGCGTGTGTCGTGTTGTCATATCAACGTAGGCCGAGACGATGCTGGGTGAACATTGGTGATTGTATGAATCATCAAATTAAAATTATTATTAATTTTAAAGATTACAAGGACTTAATTATAAGTCTTTTAATCCACATGAGACGTTATTGTTATTTTTAAATTAGACGACCTTGTCATTTGAGGTTAGTGTTAATTCATTGACAGTCAAACAGCATTTTTCCGATTATTTTAACACTGAGTCGAGACACAGGGTGGTGCGAGTGATCACGTCGTGAGTGAGAGTGGAGGATGTAGGGAAGGGGATGGCGGAGAAATGTTTCTGTTTCGTGTTTCAACGGCTCATAGTGACCGAAACTAGTGTTGCAAACAAAGAGTTTGCAACTCCCTTTGATCTTTACCGACTTCAAGTGGAAACAAAAATTTCTGTTGCAAACACTGAAAAACTGTTTGCAACAGCAAAATGTTTCGTCTAAAAATGTGCGTTTTTAGAGATGTTTGCAATTTCTGTTTGCAACTCGTGTTTCAAACTCCGGTGTAAACGCGGCTTTACAATACATTAGCCTATGCTACTTAATTGAAATTTAACGAGGTCAATGCTTGACCTATATTGACCGATGCTGTTTGTGAACCTCGACTTAGCAAAATTCATTACAAACCTAACCTTTAAGTTAGAACATTACCAAAAGTTCTTGTTGTTTTTATGCCTCATTACAACTATTAGCGACAAAGACTAGGAGAGGAAAGTATCCTCGAAATACCTACCTAACGTTACTAAATGTAACTTAACTTAAATGTTTTTATCCTCCAACCTGGATAACGTAACACACTTCAACAAAATAAAGGTTTATTAGTGGAATAGGTTTTTATGATCTTTCCTATTGTGTTACTCAGGGTATGGCCTTGAACTTGGAGCCTGACAACGTGGGAGTGGTGGTGTTTGGTAACGACAAGTTGATCAAGGAAGGAGACATTGTCAAGAGAACAGGAGCCATTGTAGACGTGCCTGTGGGTGAAGACATCTTGGGACGAGTAGTAGATGCTTTGGGTAACCCCATCGACGGCAAGGGACCCCTCAAGAACGTCACCAGGTAATGGGCTTTGTCAGGATACATTTGTCTTTTGTCCAGTCTTATTGTGTAGTCGACTTTTGTCTCTTATGGAAGCGGGGGGTTCTTCGATTATCGGAAATAATAAGTTGACTCATCAAAGCCTTTGGTTTATTATGTAGGCCTACCTAGGTCTACTCCTACTTTGAAGGACGCTTGAACTAGGTTGTATAGTTAAAACTATTTACTTGCTTATAAACTCTTGCAAACGGCTTTAAGTAATTTCATAGGCCTGAAAACCAAAATTTATTAGGCTTTATTGCAGATTAGTTTAATTTTACTTTTACCTGTATTACAAGTCTACCTGCTAAAACGTCCAAGCCCATGTTTATAAGTCAACACGTTCAATTCACAAATAATCAAACAAGACATTAGGTCCTAAAATGTTCTCTTATTATAAGTTCTAAAATATAAAGCTAATTCAGCAATTTTACTAGCAATGAGCCATTAGGCCTACTGCAGCATAATCCTAGTTCTAGATAGGCTCACTTTGGAAAGTTATAATCTGTTGGTTATTTTTTGTAAAGAAATGTATAAAAAAAATGTTAGTTCTGTTTTTGGTACTGCAATAAAATACAGGCGATTGCAATCTTTATGCATTACATGACATTGTTGGGTTTTCATTACAATGTTATGTATTGTTCCAGGGCCCGTGTAGGAGTTAAGGCGCCAGGTATCATTCCCCGTATCTCCGTCAGGGAGCCCATGCAGACAGGAATCAAGGCTGTAGACTCACTGGTGCCTATTGGCCGAGGCCAGCGAGAACTCATCATTGGTGACAGACAGACTGGGTGAGTGTCAATAGACAAACATTGGGCTGGCATGGTTTTGAAACAAAAGATGACAGTAAGCTGCCCCATCATAATTAGTTGTTTAATGTTTCACTATAATAATTTGTTTTCTTAGCAGTTGATATATAGCTGGCATTTCATTACTGTGGATGTTTTTAAGTATCCACATCTAGACAAAAGAATTAAATATCTAGACTGACAATGAAAGGTTACGCAATGTACCACTGGAGTGTGCTCGGTGTTCAATGAAATTTGCTGCTATCGTCGACTCGCCATCTCCTAGCAAACGAAATGCTACCAACGTATCAGACACACTTTTCAATATGGGTCGAGTACAAAATTCTGAAATTCTGCAATTTTAACAAAATAGACATTTTTTTATCCCCAGAAATTTTTAAAACACGAAATAACAAAACAAACTCCAACTCCCCGGATTCCAGGGAATTCCCCAAAAGCTGGCAACACTTGGCTACAACTACCAAGTTGGCATGGCAACGCTCGCTAGCGCTTGATGCTGCAGCGGTGTGCGTTGAAACTACACAGCACTCCTAGCAGTGTACGCCAGAATATATGATAACCGCAGCAATTCTGTCTATATTTAATTCTTTTGTCTATGGTATCAGCCTCTTAAGTTCATCATTGCTGTTGACAGATAACTTAGTACGGTAAATTTGGAAAAATCCTGGGAATCTAAAAATTTGGAAGACTAAGAATTCAGTGAGTTGTTGGGCCTATGTATGAATTTTGAAGTGAGTGAGAAATTCTCAAATATTCACCAATAGCCTTATTGCTGACACCTATGGCCGAGTGGTTTTTCATTTTAAACCTTGCTCTGTTGCTCCTCTTTTGATGTCGAAGAATGTTAAGTCGGATATCAGTATGTTGCCGTGCATGAAATGCTCACAGATGTTAAGATTCTGCCATAAACAGGGTTTAAAAACGAATTGAATTATAATCTAAAGAATTGATTCAATAATTAAAACTATCAAGATAGATTCTGTTATGTAGCCATATACTTTGTTGAACTAAATATGGTACTGGTAATTTAAATTTAGAGCCTGGTAAATCTGAAACTATCCTCAAATCCCATTTTACGGCTTGGAATCCCTGATAATTTAGCAGCTGGTGCTAGTGAAGAAGTTAGCATGTGTAGGCCTACCATCTCAATTATTATACCACGTTATATGTATTATTTTTATAAAGTTTTCAATACTAGCTACTAGCTGGTGTTAGTTACTAATGTTTGTATGATGTTACATGCAGCAAGACTGCTCTGGCCATTGACACCATCATCAACCAGCAGCGGTTCAACAACGCCGAGGACGAGAAGAAGAAGCTGTACTGCATCTACGTTGCCATCGGACAGAAGAGATCCACTGTGGCTCAGGTGAGTCAAAGTTGCGTGGACTAAAAATAAAGAAAATCCTTGACAATGGAGAGAAATAGACACACCATCTTCATATTGAAGTTGTAGGCTAGTTGGTTTTCAGATAAAAAAAAGACGTGGTTAAATATTGTAAAACTTGTTGTAAACTATAGCATCTTTCATGTCACATAACCTATCACAGTATTGAAATTTGAAAGAAACAAATGTCGATTTTGACAGTAGCTTGTCGGTTTCTGAGTGGCTCATTCAACTAAAGGTCAAACTCTTTTATTTTTTAGCCTGGAAAAATTGGTTAGGCCTACTATAGCTAGTCGCTGCAGATGGGATGTCTACTTCAGTATACAGTAGTCACAGACTATCCTTTAATTTTTATGGAGTCCCACAAGGATCAGTGCTTGGGCCTGTTCTATTTCCAAATTACACCTACCACAATATACTTGAAATATCTCATATTTGTAGATGACATAACACTTATAACCACCGAAGAAATTCAATGAGAGAATCAATTGAACATCTCACCAAACTGAATGTCAACAGAATAGACCCACCTTTGAAAATAGTCATAAACAACTCTAAACGCGCTCTTGTAAATTTCACTACAAAAAATACACTTAGATTTACAATATAACCTATTGTATAACCCAAAATGGTGTGAATACTAAGATTTTCAAACATCTGTTTTACATGTCTGTTGTTTGTAGATTGTCAAGCGTCTGACAGACTCTGGCTCCATGAAGTACACCATCATTGTGTCTGCCACTGCCTCAGACGCTGCCCCACTGCAGTACCTGGCGCCTTACTCTGGCTGTGCCATGGGAGAGTTCTTCCGTGACAATGGCAAGCACGCCCTCATCATCTACGACGATCTGTCCAAGCAGGCTGTTGCCTACAGACAGGTGAGTGGTTACTTATAGTGATAAGACTTGATGGTGTTCGTGACTTGAGGTGTTGAAGAAGACAATGATGTGGTTTCCAACTTTTTGGACGCAATGCGTCCATTTATCTCTCAGTCTCATTATCTTCATCTATGGGTTGATCACCCAAAGACCAGGATTTACCACCTTAATCGACTGTGGACGACTATCTCTAGAATAATTATTATGTAGATGTTGTTGAGTTCAACCTTTGAAGAATGCAGGCACCTAGTTTAACTTGTGTCTGATTAACCCTTAAGTTGTTGCCTATTTGAATTTATAAGCTTTAGTAAACTTGTTTGAAAACAATTCAAGTTACCGTATTGATAAATCAGTTTTTTTTAATTTTGCATGAAATCTCTTACATGGTTGTATAAAAATAAAAAAATCTTTGAAAAACCATCTGTATTAATTATTTTTTAAATATAATTATTTTCTGAAACTTCAAGCACCTTAGATGGAAACATCATCCTAGTTAAAAAAAATAAACACACATTAAAACTCATAGTAAATAAACTCCTTGTAACTCAAAGATATTTTGTTGGCCCAGAGTCAGTTAATATGTTCACTATCTGTTTGCATATTTTCATGTTTATACCTGGCCTGACAGATGTCCCTGCTGCTGAGACGACCCCCAGGCCGTGAGGCTTACCCTGGTGATGTGTTCTACCTCCACTCTCGTCTGTTGGAGAGAGCCGCCAAGATGAGCGAGACCCACGGTGGTGGTTCCCTCACTGCCCTGCCCGTCATTGAGACCCAGGTCAGTAGAGATCATCATGTGTCCTCGGATATTACTTGAGAGTACTTGTGAAATTTTGCTTTCTCGCCACCCTACCTTTGGGACCAAACAGGACAAGAAATGATTTTGAGATGGAACTAAATAGCTGAATAATGCAGTAAGTTCATACTGTGTAGTTGTAAATCAAACAGTAGTTTTAGTGCTCTTTTAAGGTGGTTGTAGTAGCTTACAAACAAGTTGCATGTTAAAGTATGGTAAAGATTTTTATTTTCCCTTTTTATGTGGGCTTACTACAGTCTACTACTTTTCATGTAAGATAGTAAAATGAAACTGTTTGTGACCATAACTTGAGTGATAGCAGCAAAATCATCTTTCACTGTTATGTCCAAACCCTCTTATCCAAACCTCAGTCCTTGTCCTAACATTAAGTTAGGACGTAAAAAAAGTAGCTGGATTTTTGATATTTCAACTGTATTCTCTAGGCCGGTGATGTGTCAGCCTACATTCCAACCAACGTCATCTCCATCACTGACGGACAGATCTTCTTGGAAACTGAGTTGTTCTACAAGGGTATCCGACCTGCCATCAACGTCGGTCTGTCAGTGTCCCGTGTCGGCTCAGCTGCCCAGACCAAGGCCATGAAACAGGTAAAGTTATATACCTAAGCGATTGCATTTATACAGGAAATAGCTATTTATTTAGCCTTGTTATTGAGGTTTTATTGTACATGCTTGATGGCATTTCAAATGAGTTGGTTGACATACAGTAGAAACTCCAACTATCTGAATGAATTAGGAGTGTAACTCTTTGGGATAATCAGATTTTACAGAAATTCGAGGTATTTACAGCATACAGGCCAAGTCGAGCCGAGATTTTACTAAATTGCGATCGCAAAACGAGTCTGCAAAGAGTCTGCAGAGGACGAGTATGATTTTGCGTGAATGTGAGAGACAAAGATGATGTCTACAAGACCTAGGATGATATTCAAGATTTTGCTTTTATGAAAAAAAAGATGACGAGTTTCCATGTCTGCGGGAGACGATGATGATTTCTGCAAGACCACGGAAGGTGTACAAGATTTTTCCGCAGTTGCAAAAAAAGATGATGATGTGCTAATGACCGCAAGAGACGATGGAAAAACTACAGCGAGATATTGTTTTCAAAGTCTTTAACGTCTCGATGAAGATAATGAAAGGAGACAGTATAGATTTTTACCTAAGATATCAACCTACGCAGGGTATCTCGAATATGGCAATAGTTTTAATAACTTCTCAATCCATTTTAATTGGTAATTCAGTATTTTCTGTCATGAGTAGTTTTGATGAAATAGGCTAGCTTTTGTGAATTTCTTAAATATTTTATATACATTTTAGACCAAACCCCCTTAACAATTGTGACAACATGTGCGCAGGTGGCTGGTTCCATGAAGCTGGAGTTGGCCCAGTACCGTGAGGTGGCTGCCTTCGCACAGTTCGGCTCTGACTTGGACGCAGCAACACAGCAACTGCTCAACAGAGGTGTGCGACTCACCGAGCTACTGAAGCAAGGACAGTACGTGCCCATGGCCATCGAGGACCAAGTAGCCGTCATCTACTGTGGAGTCAGAGGACACCTGGACAAACTGGACCCTGCAAAGATCACCACCTTCGAGAAGGAGTTCCTCGCCCACATCAAGTATGTCATTTGAGTTTGATTTTAATATGTTGCGGTATTATTTATAATTTATGTTCTCCAAAAGTGGGATCCATAGCTAAAGTAGGCTTGACATATTTTTTTGTAACAAGTTTATTCATGACTTTTAAGAGGTCTATAGCTCTTGGATATTCCCTATATTTCAGCTGTAGCAAAGTTCTTGAGCCTATTGTGAAGACATTTTTTGAAAAGGAATAGAGTTTAGCTAGTTTATCCGAGAAAATTCCAGGGACTAATAGATACACAATAAAAGAACGCAAAACATAACTTTGGTATTTAGGTCCTTGAATGGGACTTCTTCAGAGACTAGGTTGAAGAGAAATAGTCAAATGAATTAGCTAGCTCGGCTCATTCCTTACTACTATAATTTAAAATTTTATATATAAGCAGTCCTATTAAGTGAACACCTAAATAAAAAAATATATATATAGATTTATATATATATATATACACGTCCGTGAAAGAACTTGAGTAATTTTTGTCCGATTTTGATGAAATTTGGTTTAAATGTGTAAGGTGGGATAAACTTGAATGAGATCGCGAACCGCATGATCAGACCATGGGAACAGGGTTTTATGGGATAAAAATTGGTTTTTCTAATTTTTGGCACTCAAAACAAAAAATTTCGCAGTTTCTCGAATTTCGGTCTTTATAGACCGTTTTAAAGAGCTTAAAATAACAAATAATATAGTATATCAAAGTGTTTTTTTACGATTATTGGTAACGGAGAAAATTCTAAAAATTTTAAATTTAAAATTTCCATGTTATTCTTATGGAGAATGTTGTAAAATGTTGTAGTTTATTGATATACTTTGATCAAACTTGGGAAATTTTTTTATTTTACACTAAGCTATTAATATTTTACGAAAAAACACTCTTTATTAGTTTCCTTGTAGCAGCAAACCTAGGTACTCGTTTATCCTAATGTTATTTAAATAGATTTAATTGAAAATCAATTCAGACAAAGAGAATTTCGCTTAGTCCTGTTTGCTGCGACGGGGGTATTTGTTTGTGTCGGTGTATTTTATGTCCTTTTAATTCTTCTATGGTAAGCTAGCTGCTATCCCCCTTTAGTTTACAATTGAAAATCCTTCCCTAGAGCCTTTCCTGAACAAAACATATTAAGTAAGTAAGCTATCCTAACAATCATCCTTGGATTATCATGTTCTCTACAATGGTTCAATTTTGTTGACAGGTCGGGACACAAGGACCTGCTAGCCGACATTGCCAAGGAAGGTAAGATCACGGAAGCGTCAGACGCAAAACTGAAGGGAATCGTAACATCCTTCCTGGCTGGTTTCACCGGCTAAACAACCACCCTGCACTAGGCCTAGTAGTGAAGAGTCATGGAGAACAGACGATGAAATTGCATTTTACAACCGACCTACTGGGTCAACAGCTTAAACCAATATTTGTTTAAAGGAAATTAATTGAAAGAAGTTTTTGTTATCTTTCAGTGGTACTGCTGGAAGGTTTGCCCTGTTATTGTATTATATACACTTAAATGTTAATCGTATTATTTTCCCGTGTTCTTCAATCGACTCGAATACTCTGCGGTTTTCCATCACGCCGCTTGTAATTGTAAGAATTTTGTTATATAAAACAGTTATTAAATAGTGAGGTTTATTTTTTAATTGTTTCCTCTCTCGATCCTCGACTTATTTAAGGTGTACAAAACTATTATTTTGGATTAATAAACTTTACTGGTTTTTAACAGGAATTGTTTCCTTTTATTTACATTTTTGAACCTCATTTAACTGAAAAGTTATGTATAAAGTTTCTCTTAAAACAGCTTGAATTACTTTCATGAAAGCTAAAATTGTAGAGATAACTTAATAGCTGTACATTCATCAAGAAAGGTGCAAAAGTAAGGTTAATTATTTTGCAGACTCTTGTTAAAAAAAACTCACAAAATAAGAATAAAACAAACTTTTCCTTATAATAACAGGATTTAATTTAGGCTACATAAAAAAAAAACACATTACAAATGCACAATGTGAGCTCCATTAGAAACTGCAAATATCCAGGCAAAATTCCAACTCAGCCCGGACATTCTTTTGCATTATGGACTGCATGGCTTCTGTTATTCAATGACCTAATAATTCTTGGAGGGAAGTACACTTTGCTTTGATAAGCTCCCACAAGAAAAAACATCACATGACGTTAAGTCAGCCGTCTTGGTGACCAGCGTACCAAATGACTGTCTAAAAGACTGCATCCAATCGAACGGTCTGGCAAAACACTCAAAAACTCAAGCACTTGAATCATACTTGACATGTGGAGGAGCACCATCTAACTGGAAAACTACACCTGAAACATGTATTCGCTGAGGAATGAGCCTTTCTGGCGAGGTATTTATGTAAACGATTTTGATGAAAAAGAAAGGTCCATACACTTTACAGTAGTTGCTAAGTGCACAAAGAACATTCAGTCTAGATGAATCCATCTTGTACTTGATAAACTCTCTAATCCCTGCATTCTTATTACATTATGGTGATTCACTTGTCTTTGAGATGAAAGGTAGCCTCATCACCCAACTCTAGTCTCAGAAAAAGCCATCTTTTTCAAATAGTCTAATCATATCATGAAAAAAAAACTGCATTTTTGCTTGTCAGTAAGCTTTGTGATAACTGCAGTTTATACGGTTTTAGTCTCAAACGTTTGGACTGCAATATGTGAAGTTACCAACCAGCTTTCATTGTCGAAGTTTCTGGACTGTGCAAACTTAGCTTAGATTCTCCACAGCGTGTGAGGACAGCCAAGAAATCTTTCCGGCACACAAACATCCACTTGTCTTGAATTGCCTCACCCAACGAGCTAAGCAGGTCCGATGAGGAACCTCATTCCTAAATTTAGTTCAAAAGTTCTGCAGGTTCTGCTGAACAGCAAAAGCATTATGAACAAACTCTAAAACACAAAATACTTTTTCTTTTTTGTAGTAAGTTAGATAGTTGTTGACAGGCTTCATGGTACTCAACTAACCCACTGAGACAAAACAAAACCTTGTCAAAACAAACTTATAAACACACCCTTTCCAATGATGTAACAATCAGCTTTCCAGTGTTGTACCAGCTGTTTGAAATAGGAAACAGACATACCAATTGTTTCACTTTGCACCATTCTTATTAAATAACTCTGTACATTAAAGGATTTTAAAATTGATAAAGATTCTTAATTTAACATGTTTAGTGCTGATGACATGAGTTCCCGCCATTGCCTAACATTAAAATAAATGCAACTTTCATGTTTAAACATGTCGTACTAATTATGTTAGCAAATAAATTCACATGTTAATCCTAATTGCCACTCAAAAACTAGATGGCAACACAAAGCTTTAAACTTTAACGTCTAAAGTATAAAAGTATTTTTTTCAAATTATCTTCAATCAAGTTTGATTAAACTTACTAAACTTCTGAACAGCCTTTGTTAATTATTTACCCTAACAGCTTTAGAAGAGGGATCTCTTACAAACAGCATATAAAATGAGTCCATTAAGCTTTCAAGTGAGCTTTGGTGGGCTAATCTTAAATCCTTTAGTGACAAAAATAGTATAATCTCATCCTGATTTCTGAAAACAGTGTTATAGTAGTCTTACAAAACCTAAAAAGTTGTCCGAGTTGTACAGAAGAAATCCATAGTCAGCTTCTAGGTTTGCAAATTCCCCTCGTCTTAATAGAATTTCATGAACTATTGGAACAAAAATAAATCAAGATAATCATGATAAGTTTATATTTTCAGTTTTCAATCATTAAAATTTTTTTATTTTATACTAAATGTATAGAGACTGGCTTTTGTTCGGATCCATTTGTTGGGACCCATTACTTTCGTTCACTAAGATGCACACCTTCGTCCACAAAAAATAAAAGATCAGTAGTCCTTGATGATTATGTTTTAGTAATATTGGTCCTGGCCAGCTAAAAAAAGCTAAACATTTACAACACAGATCATATTAATCCCATTCTACACTCACTTTGCATTTAAAAGCTGTGTTTACACTGCTGTCCAAGTCCAAGTTCCAAAATCTGTGTGACTGTGGCGACTAGCGCCACATCTCGTGAAGCCCCTGCTCGCTAGGAGCATATACTTCTGGGAAGCTGTGGGTCTAAGCCCTGGTAGCTCAGCTACCTGTAGATTACCATGTCCATAACAGGTGTGGTTGCCACACCAATGGACAGCCGTACGCAAATGCCGTGGCGCCACGGCCACAAGCAGCTGTGTAGTGTAAACAGTTTTCTGGTAAAAGCGTATTCATTAAAGGCGTGTTAATTTTTATTTACGGATGGATTGTGCCAACAGATTAATTATAGAAGGTTGCGCTGCAGTGAGTGTTATTTTAGCTGAAGAAATAGCACGGCATTTAAGTGTTATTAAAACAAAGAAACCAAGCTGTAGCTTTCAATATTTATATCAAATAAACACGGTTCACTTTGATACAGTTCAAGCATTCAAATTGTTTGACCTCCAATTTTAAAGATTGCTTTGTTTTCACCGTTTCAATCAATTCGACTTGTGTCAATGTTAGCTGTAAGACAGGACCATGTGGTCCTAATGTTCACCTCAATAAAAAAAGTATTTTCATTTCATTCCAGTTTCATTTAGATTAGTACACTACTTCAGTTTCGGACTTCTCGAGGAGTCCATCATCAGGTGTGACAAACCTCAGCTGGTCATCTAGCCAAATTGGATGACTGTAGTTTTTGTCACACCTGATGATGATGGACTCCTCCAGAAGTCCAAAACTTATGTTCTACCAAAAAAGGATCACTTGACAAGCAAAGTAACCTAAACCATTTACCTTAATATTCCAAAGTATAAATTATTTCTCTCTCAGGTGTGACTGATTTTTTTTTACTACTGCTTGGACATTCAACAGTGCAAAACAACTTTGTTGCACCAAAATCTTCTCTGTATATAGTACACATTAATGATACTTTTTCATTACATTTAATCTCACCGAGTACAATATTTAAAAAATACCCATAATCTTCCTGGACAGGAGTTAAATCAGTATATTATAATCACAGTTTCAGTTTGTACCAAACAATGTAAAATCTGACGAATTTTACACAGAAGTTAACACAAGTTCTAGTTGGAGAGTTAAAACGCTTCCCAAGTTTCTCTGATGTCTAATTAAGTTTTTGTTGCCGCAAAGTTTTGTGGCCCGAAGTGTTCAGAGTTATACTTTGTAAGTTGCTCCTTTTCTTTTCAAGTTGTTCAAAGCTGAATTTTAATGTAAACTTTCGTTTTTAATAATAATTAAAAAAAATGTCTGTAGTAGGTTAACTGTTGATAAAAACAAGTAGAGTTACCCAAAGTAAACAAATATGTGGAACAATATCATTCTCAAAATGAAATTTTGAAGAAATGAAAATATATTTTGTTAGTTTTAAAATTGGTTAGTTTGACAACTACTAAGCAGTAGTATTACTAGATGAACTAAGGTAAGATCAATAATAAGACACTTCATATTCTGACATTCTCAGAAGCCTTGGACTATTGATAGAACATGACACTTTATCCCAATGTTTAAGTTGGTGCCAGATTTTTTTTATTATAAAAGACGTTCAAGTGAGCTACCAACAGATTGAACGGATTTAAATAATTAATTTCTGTCAAATATGCTGACTTTTTAAACCTGTCAATACTAACAGGACGACTTACTAGCAATAGCATATTATTTGATCATGTAAACTATCTCATTAACAACAAATAAGGTAGAAAATTAATTTTAAACACTAGCGCAACCTGTGCCTGTGACTGACTCACTGAACTATGTTTTATCGAATTTCCCTATAGGGTAGCTATTACCGTAGGTCGCACGGTAAGACCTAGACCTGGGACCGATTTACTTTTTCATTTTGATGTCCCCAGAGGCCAAAACCACCATTCGTTCAAATTTTTTTTATATATATACGTCCGTGAACGCGATAACTTGAGTCATTTTTATCCGATTTTGATGAAATTTGATTTAAAAGTGTGAGGCGGGATAAACTTGAATGAGTTCGAGAACCAGCATGATCGGACCATGGGAACGGGGTTTTAATGGGATAAAAATTGTTTTTCTCATTTTTGACCCTCAAAACACAAAATTTCCCAATTTCTCTCTAGACCTTTTTAAAGAGCTAAAAAAACCAAATAATGTAGGATATCAAAGTGTTTTTGTTCGGTTATTGGCACAATCTGTAGGTTGGCTCACATCAAATATGATGCTTTAAGTAAAAAAAAGCTGGCTACAAATTTAACAGGGGGATGGAATGTCTATTTGTATAATAGCCAAAGCTCATACTAATTGAAGTGAGCTATTTAATAGCGTCTCATGACAATATAGTTGCAGGAATAAACAAGTTTTCTTAAGATTGAGCGTTTTATAGGTGGGCCCAAACAACGCTACCAAGGCGGTTTGGAAGTGAAAATGTAAAGAATGGTTTGAACTTTTAATTTTTATCCGAAAAAAAGGCATGGCCCTACCAGTTATTAAAAACCAAACAATTGTGTTTGTTCCATTTATTTGTTTTATCCTTGGTTGAAATTTTTTCAGTTAAATTTTAAGGAAAATCGCAGGTTAAAAATGTTTATTTTTGCAATCTTTGTTTATACAAAAATATTAAACAGGAATAGAAAACAATTATTTTGAACTTTGTTATAGGGCCACAGGGAACAGACCATGTTTGATTTCTAAATTCAACCCCTAAATTTTGTATAGACCCCATATTTTTTTAA